TGTGAAGAAACTCCATTCTATCTTGTTGCAGGATATTGAAAGGGAGAAGCCCGATGATGAAGTTGTAGAGATTAAGGAATCAATGAAGTATGGTCGTCGTTGGAGTGTGAGTGATGCTAGTATAAGCAAATACCTAGCCTTTGCTCAAACACTGCAACAATCTAAATTCCGCTTTGCTGAGGCAGGAACTAGCGGTACCTCCTCTCGATCCGACCTATTTCCAACCTCTACTGCAACAGCTATTGAAGACACCTTTGCTCAAATATGGCAATGTGGGTGGAAATGGTTTCCTCTGTGCTCATGCCTTTTCATTTTCTTCACCCTTTTCCGTTATGGAATGTTAGAGATTTTCAGTAAACGGGATTGAAATGGCGTACAAGAGAATCTACAACGGCCCAAAATTTGCTGATCTTGGTTCCGGGAATTCCCACATTTGTGGAATTGTGGAGAATTTCGGGGGCCTTCAGTGCTTGCAATGGCCGGAGTTTCGCCAGTCCAACCAAATTTCCCTCACCACGAATCTCGCATTGGGTCAAGATTTTGTTTGTGGGTTACGCGATTCAGGCAAAGTTCAGTGCCTGGGGAGTGATTCAAATGTCACCGATTATGCCCCCAACGGGACTTACGATGATTTGGTCACAGGTTCGCGCTACGCGTGCGCTATTTCGCATAAGGGGCGGTTGAATTGCTGGGGAGATATGGCCGAAGAAAAGCTGGAGGGCGAATTTGTGGGTCTTGCCTAGGGAGAGCACAGGTGATGCGCCATAAGACGGTCTGACAGAACCGTAGTTTGTTGGGGAGAAAATGATTTTAAAATCCCTCGAGGGTTGGAGAGCAGGCATTTCTTGGCATTGGCGGAAAGAGAAACAATGTTTTGCGGAGTGATAGAGGAGAATGCAATGTTTTATTGTTAGGGAAATGCCTATTTGGATTTTAATCTTAAGGTTTTCGACAAAGTAGTTCATGGGCTGTGCTCAAGTTCTTGTCGTTGAAGTAATATACATTTCTACGGTTGCGGCCAAAATGAAAAAATATGTGCGCCGTGTATTCTTGGAACTCCTACTCAGAATACACCTTCACAATCGCCACCGTCTCCGGCCAGTGGAAAACGCAGTCATTGGGATGTATTGTTTCTTTGATAGTTGTATTAACCCTTATATGTTACCTATTTCATAGGTACTGCACCATTACAGGAGGCTCTTGAATCTATTTTCCCTGCTGGTTGGACGAGGAAGAAGCAGAGGCGGTATTGGAAGAAAGGCCCAGCCAATTGGTAAGTATGGTAAATGCTGGGATTTTAGAAGAGTTTTCTTTACAAGTGTTGCAACAGGTGACAAATAATTTTTCTGAGGAGCATAGAATTGGTAAAGGTAGTTTTGGGTCAGTGTACCATGCGACATTGGAAGATCGGCAGAGAGTGGCCATCAAGAGGGCTGAGTTTGGCGGTGGCATAAGATACCGGCAGGAGGACAATGATTGTGCCTTCCTCAATGAGCTTGAGTTTTTGTCAAGGCTGCATAACAAGAACCTAGTGTGGATATTGGGCTATTGTGTGGATAACAATGAGAAATTTCTTGTTTTTCAGTACATGGAAAATGGCACACTTCATGATAAATTCCATAGGCTTGAAAGATCACAGCTCATGTCGTGGACCGCACGGATTCGCGTCGCCTTAGTTGCAGCCCGAGGGATTGAGTACCTCCACGAGTGTGCTGTGCCGCACGTTATCCACCACGACATCAAGTAATCCAGCATACTGTTGGACAACACTTGGACTGCAACGGTGTCCGTCTTTGGGTTGTCCTTAATGGGACCTCAAGATGATAGGTTTCACCTTTCATTACAAGCAGCGGGTACGATGGGGGTACTTGGATCCAGAGTATTATATGATGCAAGTATAAACTTCCAAGAGCGATGTGTACAGTTTTGGAGTAGTACTCCTCGTGCTGCTATTGGGAAAGAAATCCATTCATAACAGTGAAGACGGGGAGGCAAGGAATGTGGTGAATTACGCTGTTCCGTACATGCAGCAAGATAATATTGCTAGGATTTTAGACCGTCGAGTTCCTCCTTCGACACCATTCGAGATTGATTCAATCACCTACATAGGTTACCTAGAAGTAGATTATGTGAAGCAACATTGCAGAGATAGACCGACAATGACTAAAATCTTAAATAAGTTGGAAAGAACCTTAATAGTGATGAGCTTGCAACTCAGGTATTATTTTTTCTCCCATTGATTTAAAAAATTTTCAATAAGAACAAGTTGAAGAGAGTGTTGATATGTTGAAAGAGATTAGCAGTGGTTAGTTGTTATGTGAGGAAACTCCAGTCTATCTTGTTGCAGGATATTGAAAGGGAGAAGCCCGATGATGAAGTTGCAAAGATTAAGGAATCAATGAAGTATGGTCGTCGTTGGAGTGTGAGTGATGCTAGTATAAGAAAATACCAAGCCTTTTCTCAAACACTGCAACAATCTAAATTCCGCTTTTCTGAGGCAGGAACTAACGGTACCTCCTCTGGATCCGACCTATTTCTAACCTCTACTGCAACAGTTAATGAATACACCTTTGCTCAAATACTGCAATGTGGGTGGAAATGGTTTCCTCTGTGCTTATACCTTTTCATTTTCTTAACCCTTTTCCGTTATGTAATGTTGGAGATTTTCAGTATACGGGGCTGAGATGGCGTACAAGAGAATCTACAACGGCCTGAAATTGGCTGATCTTGGTTCCGGGAATTCGCACATTTGAGGAATTGTAGAGAATTCCGGGGGCCTTCAATGCTTGCAACGGCCAGAGTTTCGCCAGTCCAACCAGATTTCCCTCACCACGAATCTCCCATTTGGTCAAGATTTTGTTTGTGCGTTGCGCGATTTAAGCATAGTCCAGTGCCTGGGGAGTGATTCAAATATCACCGATCATGTCCCCAACGGGACTTACGATGATTTGGCCGCAGGTTCGCGCTACGCGTGCGCTATTTCGCAGAAGGGGCGGTTGGATTGCTGGGGAGATATGGCCGAAGAAAAGCCGGAGGGAGAATTTGTGGGTCTTGCCTGGTGATAGCACAGGGGATGCGCCATAAGACGGTCTAACAGAACCGTAGTTTGTTGGGCAGAAAATGATTTTAGCATCCCTCGAGGGTTGGAGGGCAGGCACTTCTTGGCATTGGCGGAAAGAGAAACAATGTTTTGCGGAGTGCTAGAGGAAAATGCAATGTTGTATTGTTGGGGAAATGCCCATTTGGATTTTAATCTTAAGGTTTTCGACAAAGTAGTTCCTGGGCTGTGCATAATTCTTGTCTTTGCAGTAACATATCTTTCTATGGTTGCGGCCAAAATGAAAAAATATGTGCACCGTGTATTCTTGGAACTCCTTCTCAGAATACACCTTCACAACCGCCACCATCTCCGGCCAGTGGAAAACGCAGTCATTGGGATGCACTATTTCTTTGATAGTTGTATTAGCCCTTATATGTTTCCTATTTCCTAGGTACTGCACCTTTACAGGAGGCTCAAGAATCCATTTTCCCTGTTGGTTAGAGGAGGAAGAAGAAGAGGCGGTCTTGGAAGAAAGGCCCAGCCAATTGGTAAGTATGGTAAATGCTAGGATTTTAGAAGAGTTTTCTTTACAAGTGTTGCAACAACTGACAAATGATTTTTCTGGGGAGCATAGAATTGGTAAAGGTAGTTTTTGGCCAGTGTACCTTGCGACATTGGAAGATGGGTGGAGAGTGGCCATCAAGAGGGCGCAATTTGGTGGCAGCATAAGATACCGGCAGGAGGACAAGGACAATGCCTTCCTCAATGAGCTTGAGTTTTTGTCAAGGATCTATCACAAGAACCTAGTGAGGCTATTGGGCTATTTTGAGAATAACAATGAGAGATTGCTTGTTTTTTAGTACATGTAAAATGGCACACTTCATGATCAATTCCATAGGCTTGAAAGCTCACATCTCATGTCGTGAACCGCACGGATTCGCGTCGCCTTAGATTCAGCCCGAGGGATTGAGTACCTCCACGAGTATGCTGTGCCGCAAGTCATCCACCGCAACATCAAATCATCCAACATAATGCTGGACAACACTTGGACTGCAAAGGTGTCCGACTTTTGGGTTGTCCTTAATGGGACCTCAAGATGATAGGTCTCACCTTTCATTACAAGCAGCGGGTACGATGGGGTACTTGGATCTAGAGTATTATATGATGCAAGTATTAACTACCAGGAGCGATGTGTATAGTTTTGGAGTAGTACTCCTTGTGCTGCTATTGGGAAAGAAAGCCATTCATAATAGTGAAGACGGGGAGGCAAGGAATGTGGTGAGTTATGTTTCTCCGTACATACAACAAGATAATATTGCTAGGATTTTAGACCTTCGAGTTCCTCCATCGACACCATTCGAGATTGATGCAATCACCTACATAGGTTACCTAGCAGTAGATTATGTGAAGCACCATTGCTGAGATAGGCAGACAATGACTGAAATATTAAATAAGTTGGAAAGAGCCTTAACAGTTATTGAGCTTGCAACTCAGGCATTATTTTTTCTCCCATTTATTTAACAAGTTTTCAATAAGAACAAGTTGAAGAGAGTGTTGATAGGTTGAAAGAGATTAGCAGTGGTTAGTTGTTCTGTGAGGAAACTCCATTCTATCTTGTTGCAGGATATTGAAAGGGAGAAGCCCGATGATGAAGTTGCAGAGATTATGGAATCAATGAAGTATGGTTGTCGTTGGAGTGTGAGTGATGCTATTATAAGCAAATACCAAGCCTTTGCTCAAACACTGCAACAATCTAAATTCCGCTTTGATGAGGCAGGAACTAGCGGTACCTCCTCTGGATCCGACCTATTTCCAACCTTTACTGCAACAGCTAATGAAGACACCTTTGCTCAAGTACTGCAATGTGGGTGGAAATGGTTTCCTCTGTGCTCATACCTTTTCATTTTCTTCACCCTTTTCTGTTATGGAATGTTGGAGATTTTAAGTAAACGGGACTGAGATGGCGTACAAGAGAATTTACAACAGCCCGAAATTGGCTGATCTTGGTTCAGGGAATTCCCACATTTGTGGAATTGTGGAGAATTTCGGGGGCCTTCAGTGCCTGCAATGGCTGGAGTTTCGCCATTCCAACCAGATTTCCCTCACCACGAATCTCGCATCGGGTCAAGATTTTATTTGCGGGTTGCGCGATTCAGGCAAAGTTCAGTGCCTGGGGAGAGATTCAAATGTCACTGATCATGACCCCAACGGGACTTACGATGATTTGGCCGCAGGTTCGCGCTACACGTGCGCTATATCGTAGTACGGGCGGTTAGATTGTTGGGGAGATATGGCCGAAGAAAAGCCGGAGGGCGAATTTGTGGGTCTTTCCTTGGGAGAGCACAGGGGTTGCGCCATAAGACGGTCTAACAGAACTGTCGTTTGTTGGGGAGAAAATGATTTTAGCATCCCTGTAAGGGGGGGAGAGTGTAACACCCCGTGTTACGATCCCTCAACCCGGAATTAATTATAAAATTAATTCCACCAAGAATAAATAAAAAGGGATTTAATCCCCATTAATTGATTGATATGGCCCACAGTGGATCATGGACCCTTGTCCAAATCCAAAACAAAATATATATACCCTATAGGACCAATAAGTATAGTGTAGCCCGAGCCCAAACATACTTAATCTTGACCCACCTAAACCAAGAAACCCAATCCTAACATAATAATAATAATAATAATAATAATAATAATAATAATAATAATAATAATAATAATAATAATAATAATAATAATAATAATAATAATAAAAATAATAATAATAATAATAATAATAATAATAATAATAATAATAAAATAACAATAATAATAATATATTATTATTATTATTATTATACATAGATGAACTAGGATACGTATATACGTATGAGTATATGCGTGTATATATATATATATATATATATATATATATATATATATATATATATATATATATATATATATATATATATATATATATATATATAGAGTACGTACATACGTATGAAAAGAGGAACCAAACACCCCCCTTCTCCCCTACTTCCAATACAGTACCACACAAGCTAAGGCATACAAGTACGTATACACCTAATCCTATACGAACAAGGCGTACGTATACATAAACATATATATATACGTACGCAAACCCCCATCTATACCTCCCTCTCTCTCTCTCTCTCAACCCCAACAAATCACCAACCTCTCCATCAACCCCCTCCTTCGTTCCATCAAGACATCGACGGAAACTCGGTCGGACGGCGAAGCGGTAATACGACGAGAGGCGTACGGCAACGCCGACGGCGGCAACAGAGTACGGCAACACCGACGGCGGCAACGGAGTCACGCAACAACGACGACGGCGACCCCTCCCTCCAACGAATGCACGGACAGGTGGTGGCGGGTTGGCAACAGGAGATGAGATTTCCGGAAGCCACCCGCTGCTCCTCGGCAAAACAGAATGAAGAAGAAGATGAAGGTAAGTTGTCATTATAGTCACCCTTGACTACTTAGGGATAAAAAGAATTAATGGCAGTAGGATTACCAAGGGGCGCTCAGCTCAGTTGGTTAGACTCGTGATGGGCTTTGGGGAGTGTTAGGGTTAAAATCTTGCTAGCACTTGTTGGTTGTATATGCTTATCATATTTTGGGGTCTAATTATGGGGGCGATTAATACACTTAGGGACGGTGATGATTTGTTCAGTACCATGATACTTTAATACTAGGTTTTACTACAATGGTTTGGGGAGAAAATCTAGGGTTCAAATCTCTTAGGGTTTAATTATTTTATAGCTCGATTATTTAGTGAAAAGTCTGATTTGATTCACAGGTTCCGTTGATGGTGTTTCGGATTAATAAGCGAATATGGTAACCCATGTCTCAACAAAACCTATTTTCGTAGTTATGATTTCCCCCATAGGTTTTCCCCGTATTATTGTGTATCGATGATTTGTGATGTTATTATTAATGATTGATGGGACAATTCCATGGGTGATCTTAACATCGGGAGATTATTGATAACTATGGTGTTCTTAACGATTATGTGGAGTCTTGATGATTATATGGCGTTCTTGATGCTTATGTGTTATTTGTACCGAATCTTGTAATTAGAAGACGAACCGTATTCTTGTTGATATAAAAGTAATTAGAACCCTAGGTTGATGTTCTTGTTGGCGTTCTTGATGCTTAGGTGATATTCTTACCGAATCTTGTAATTAGAAGACGAATCGTATTCTTGTTGGATTAAAAATAATTAGAACCCTAGGTTATATCGTGGAATTCGTATGGTATTGTTCTTGGTATATTGGGTGGGATTTCGCATGATTGGGTGTTTATTATGTCTAGAAAAGCATGATAGGTTATGTGCCGTTTGATTCTTGATTTTGATCCGTTAAATTGTCTACGTGTGTTATCAATTGCGTTTGAAAGTGTCTAAGCATGGTCTCGGGTTCCACGAAGGTTCCCGGGGAGTTTTTGGTGTTAATGAGTCAGTGGGGGGTAGGGGACCCACCACCTACCCGCGGTCAAAAGGGGCAGTTCCGGCAGCGGGCAACCGGCGGGCGGGCAGCTGACCGCCGGCGACCCGCTGCCCGGAACAGCGTTACCGGCGGGCAGCCGGCGGGTGGCCCCCCACCTACCGGCTACCCGCTGGAAATTCCCACACTTGGGACCCCGACTTCCCCGTTTGATGTTTCCCCGACCCCCGTGGTGTCCCAACGGACTCCGTCTATCGTGCCTATGTCTAGTTTGATGTTTCGGGTACCGTTCGTAGGTTGTATGAGTTTTATATATTTCATGCTAGTTGAATTGGTATCCCGCTGACCTAGGTGAAAGGAGTATGAACCCCTTAGGACCATTCTTAGTATGTGAAGGATCACGCATAGGTTTTGTTATACGTTTTCTCCCCCTTCCCAATGTGTTAATGTGGGTTGCATGTGCTTGCTATGTGTTATGTGTGCATGTCACCCCGATTTGGTTGAGACCAATCGGGCTATACGGGCAGTCGGGTGGGCTGAGAACTATACCGGCTGTTAACCAGGCTGGTAGAGACCGGTCAGGTATATAAATATTATATAGGACTAAGTTCCACTATACGGGCAGTCGGATGGGCTGAGAACCATACCGGCTGTTAACCAGGCTGGTAAAGACCGGTCAGGTATATAAATATTATATAGGACAAAGGTCCACTATACGGGCAGTTGAATGGGTTGAGAACCATCCCAACTGTTAACCAGGCTAGTAAAGACCGGTCAGGTATATAAATATTATATAGAACTGCGGTTCATTAGTCGGTTGCGATCGACTCCTCCGTAAGGTGAGACGGGGCAGGGTGCTGCAGGGCCGTGTCAGAGCTATATGTGCTGACCCTCATGTATGGGCATGCGATTGGTCCTGTGGCGCCAACAAAGTGTGCTATGTGATGAGATATGGATGAGCTGCGTTTATGAGTATATTCGGGGATGTGACTATGGGATTTATGCTGGGGATTGTTTATGTTGGGTTATGATTATTAATTGTGCTCAGCTTTATCTGTCTTGCCTGCTGTGGATTGTATACGCTTGTTATAACTGTTGCTTATGTCTAGCCTTATCTGTCGAGTCATTCCCGGTTTTAAAAACTAGAGTCTCGTAGGATATATCTTCATGCTTCAAAATGGTTTTCGTATATCTATATATATACCTCTATATGTAATGTATTTCAACGCGTTGGAGTGGGTTACCAGCATCTCTCGCTGAACAGATATATTTGGCTTTCAGGCACAGAAGAGTAAGTCACTGGAGCGCGCTAGAACTTGGAACGTAGAAGTAGTTAGTTTCCCCTTCGGCCTGCGTGCCGTGTTTACGTATTTACATTATTGAGACATTAGTTAGTTAGCTTGTGCACCTGAGTTCTCTAGCTCAGGTGTGGCATAGCACCCCGTACTCTTGTATTCTGTTTTGGGATTTAATAAGATTTCACCTTTATTTAATAAGTTTTAATTATCCTGAAAATCTGGGGTGTTACAGTTGGTATCAGAGCCTAAGTTTGACCCTAGGATAAGACTCTTAAGACATGACTTTAGGACATTAAGCTTGAACTCTAGGTATATAGGTACAGAGGACCTAGGAAACTTAGGACACGCAGTGAGGCTGTGAGTTTATCACTTCCATTTAAGTTCCCATGCCTGCTTTCTATCTAGCTTCAATTCTTTTAGTTAAAGCACCAGGTAAGGGTGCGAGTAGATAAGTTTACTTCCATAACGGGGTAAGATACACTTACCCGATAAATCGCCTCGTCCTAATTCCCGCCAAAAGACTTGACAAAAGACCGTGACCAAAGAGAAGGAAGATTTGGATGACTACTAAGACAGGGCGGTCAAGATAAGACGTTTGCATCAAGACGTCAGGACTACTCAAAGGAGACGGACTGCAATACTCACCAACCGGGGGTTAACTACAATGATCCCTGATTCAGACAAATGGCGTGCACCTTCCGACAGATTGCTTTATCTCCGCAAACCCAGGTTGCAGCTACAACAAACAGGAAAGAGAACTAGGACGCTAATTAAACACGAGAAAGTGAAGTAGCGAATGGACGACACTATTAGTTAAATCCTTAGGTGCAAGGTAAGTATATCGCGACGCCTTGCGACCCCATTACCTCAGTTTAAAATATCATCCGCCTTGAAATCTCAGCATCTTGCTATCCCTATTTGTTGAGAACTCCCACCCCGAATCCTTAATTATCCTTTAGAGCAGTTCACGACCATTATGACTTTACTCACCCTTTTGTTGCGCCTAACCCGAGCCCTCGGAAACCCTAAATTGTTGTGAGCATTGGAATCATCGCCATTGCTCTAAGTTTATATTTCCCCTCCCTTGGAAACCCTGTTAAGGCCCTTTCTTAGAGCAGTATAAAACCCTTACTCTGCCCAGGGGCGTGAAGAGCCGGTGTTCGTTATTAAAATAAGTTGTTAGATAGGGATCGACGGATTAGGTGGAAGTTACGAATGCATGAAAGGTATCATCGCACCTTTGCACGAAATCCGTGAAGGCTTTACAAGATACCATCACCAGTACGTGCGTCACCAAGGAACACCATGCGTTGACAAAGACGGGCGAACAAATGCATTCCGAAGAGAATAGTGTGTCAGATGCCCTCACAATAGAAAACATCGTCAAAAAAAAAAAAGGGTGCAACAGGCCGAACTTCAAGGAGGACATAAAATCTTGCTAAGAATTTCATCCACCAAGGAAGGGATGAAACTCGATAGAACAAGAAAGCCAACCCAAAACCCCTTGACCCTTAGGAACCCTCGGCAAGGATTAGAAGTCAAGACCTAGGGATTGGCCTCACTAACCGACTAGGTCTAGACTTTTGAACATCTGAGGGGAACATGCACGGAAATCATCACGAGGATTCCCTTGGAAGCAATAAAGATGAAGGAAACTTCCGCATGGGAAGAGAAGATCAAACGAAAATCTTAGAGTCAAACGAAGCCAAAACTAAGGAAATGGATCATCAGTCCGCCTTTACGTCACAACCGAGCTTCAAACATGCATAATCACTCGAAGCCAAGAGTCCTTAGCCCTATCCCTTTCCCTTCCCTTGCCAATCAAATACCATTTCGTTAAGGAATCCGTTCTACCACTCCAAACCTCACTCTTGATCCCTCATTTCAAACAAACCCATACAAGGTAGCAACCTTCTTTCCTAAATTACAACTTTGAAAACATCGACCCTATTCCTACTTAGCCGTCCCTCGACTTTGAAACCTAAATCCTGCACTTCTTGTACCCCTTTAACCCAGACCAAGAGAACATAGATATATATATATATATAGTTAGATATTGTCCAGTAGAATATTTTCCCTAGACGACTGCTGCGCTAATTGCGACCTTTTATTCCCTAAAATGGTTCCTAAGCTTCGAGGACGAAGCTTCCTGTAAGGGGGGGAGAGTGTAACACCCCGTGTTACGATCCCTCAACCCGGAATTAATTATAAAATTAATTCCACCAAGAATAATTAAAAAGGGATTTAATCCCCATTAATTGATTGATATGGCCCACAGTGGATCATGGACCCTTGTCCAAATCCAAAACAAAATATATATACCCTATAGGACCAATAAGTATAGTGTAGCCCGAGCCCAAACATACTTAATCTTGACCCACCTAAACCAAGAAACCCAATCCTAACATAATAATAATAATAATAATAATAATAATAATAATAATAATAATAATAATAATAATAATAATAATAATAATAATAATAATAATAAAATAACAATAATAATAATAATATATTATTATTATTATTATTATTATACATAGATGAACTAGGATACGTATATACGTATGAGTATATGCGTGTATATATATATATATATATATATATATATATATATATATATATATATATATATATATATATATATATATATATACATATATATATATACATATATATATATATATATATATATATATATATATATATATATATATATAGAGTACGTACATACGTATGAAAAGAGGAACCAAACACCCCCCTTCTCCCCTACTTCCAATACAGTACCACACAAGCTAAGGCATACAAGTACGTATACACCTAATCCTATACGAACAAGGCATACGTATACATAAACATATATATATATATGTACGCAAACCCCCATCTGTACCTCCCTCTCTCTCTCTCTCTCAACCCCAACAAATCACCAACCTCTCCATCAACCCCCTCCTTCGTTCCATCAAGACATCGACGGAAACTCGGTCGGACGGCGAAGCGGTAATACGACGAGAGGCGTACGGCAACGCCGACGGCAGCAACGGAGTACGGCAACACCGACGGCGGCAACGGAGTCATGCAACAACGACGACGGCGACCCCTCCCTCCAACGAACGCACGGACAGGTGGTGGCGGGTTGGCAACAGGAGATGAGATTTCCGGAAGCCACCCGCTGCTCCTCGGCAAAACAGAACGAAGAAGAAGATGAAGGTAAGTTGTCATTATAGTCACCCTTGACTACTTAGGGATAAAAAGAATTAATGGCAGTAAGATCACCAAGGGGCGCTTAGCTTAGTTGGTTAGACTTGTGATGGGCTTTGGGGAGTGCTAGGGTTCAAATCTTGCTAGCACTTGTTGGTTGTATATGCTTATCATATTTTGGGGTATAATTATGGGGGCGATTAATACACTTAGGGACGGTGATGATTTGTTCAGTACCATGATATCCCGTAGGCTTAATACTAGGTTATACTACACGGTGGTTAGATGATTGATTTGGGTTTCATGTTAACAATGGGTGAGTTAGCTTAGTAGGGTAGGACATGGTTGGTTTGGGGAGAAAATCTAGGGTTCAAATCTCTTAGGGTTTAATTATTTTAGGGTTTAATTATTTTATAGCTCGATTATTTAGTGAAAAGTCCGATTTGATTCACAGGTTCCGTTGATGGTGTTTCGGATTAATAAGCGAATAAGGTAACCCATGTCTCAACAAAACCTATTTTCGTAGTTATGATTTCCCCCGTAGGTTTTCCCCGTATTATTGTGTATCGATGATTTGTGATGTTATTATTAATGATTGATGGGACAATTTCATGGGTGATCTTGACATCGGGAGATTATTGATAACTATGGTGTTCTTAACGATTATGTGGAGTCTTGATGATTATATGGCGTTCTTGATGCTTATGTGTTATTTGTACCGAATCTTGTAATTAGAAGACGAACCGTATTCTTGTTGATATAAAAGTAATTAGAACCCTAGGTTGATGTTCTTGTTGGCATTCTTGATGCTTAGGTGATATTCTTACCGAATCTTGTAATTAGAAGACGAATCGTATTCTTGTTGGATTAAAAATAATTAGAACCCTAGGTTATATCGTGGAATTCGTATGGTATTGTTCTTGGTATATTGGGTGGGATTTCGCATGATTGGGTGTTTATTATGTCTAGAAAAGCATGATAGGTTATGTGTCGTTTGATTCTTGATTTTGATCCGTTAAATTGTCTACGTGTGTTATCAATTGCGTTTGAAAGTGTCTAAGCATGATCTCGGGTTCCACGAAGGTTCCCGGGGCGTTTTTGGTGTTAATGAGTCAGTGGGGGGTAGGTGGGGGTAGGGGACCCGCCACCTACCCGCGGTCAAAAGGGGCAGTTCCGGCAGCGGGCAACCGGCGGGCGGGCAGCTGCCCGCCGGCGACCCGCTGCCCGGAACAGCGTTACTGGCGGGTGGCCCCCCACCCACCGGCTACCCGCTGGAAATTCCCACACTTGGGACCCCGACTTCCCCGTTTGATGTTTCCCCGACCCCCGTGGTGTCCCAACGGACTCCGTCTATCGTGCCTATGTCTAGTTTGATGTTTCGGGTACCGTTCGTAGGTTGTATGAGTCTTATATATTGCATGCTAGTTGAATTGGTATCCCGCTGACCTAGGTGAAAGGAGTATGAACCCCTTAGGACCATTCTTAGTATGTGAAGGATCACGCATAGGTTTTGTTATACGTTTTCTCCCCCTTCCCAATGTGTTAATGTGGGTTGCATGTGCTTGCTATGCGTTATGTGTGCATGTCACCCCGATTTGGTTGAGACCAATCGGGCTATACGGCAGTCGGGTGGGCTGAGAACCATACCGGCTGTTAACCAGGCTGGTAGAGACCGGTCAGGTATATAAATATTATATAGGACTAAGTTCCACTATACGGGCAGTCGGATGGGCTGAGAACCATACCGGCTGTTAACCAGACTGGTAAAGACCGGTCAGGTATATAAATATTATATAGGACAAAGGTCCACTATACGGGCAGTTGAATGGGTTGAGAACCATCCCAACTGTTAACCAGGCTGGTAAAGACCGGTCAGGTATATAAATATTATATAGAACTGCGGTTAATTAGTCGGTTGCGATCGACTCCTCCGTAAGGTGAGACGGGGCAGGGTGCTGCAGGGCCGTGTCAGAGCTATATGTGCTGACCCTCATGTATGGGCATGCGATTGGTCCTGTGGCGCCAACAAAGTGTGCTATGTGATGAGATATGGATGAGTTGTGTTTATGAGTATATTGGGGGATGTGACTATGGGATTTATGCTGGGGATTGTTTATGTTGGGTTATGATTATTAATTGTGCTCAGCTTTATCTGTCTTGCCTGCTGTGGATTGTATACGCTTGTTATAACTGTTGCTTGTGTCTAGCCTTATCTGTCGAGTCGTTCCCTGTTTTAAAAACTAGAGCCTCGTAGGATATATCTTCATGCTTCAAAATGGTTTTCGTATATCTATATATATACCTCTATATGTAATGTATTTCAACGCGTTGGAGTGGGTTACCAGCATCTCTCGCTGAACAGATATATTTGGCTTTCAGGCACAGAAGAGTAAGTCACTGGAGCGCGCTAGAACTTGGAACGTAGAAGTAGTTAGTTTCCCCTTCGGCCTGCGTGCCGTGTTTACGTATTTACATTATTGAGACATTAGTTAGTTAGCTTGTGCACCTGAGTTCTCTAGCTCAGGTGTGGCATAGCACCCCGTACTCTTGTATTCTGTTTTGGGATTTAATAAGATTTCACCTTTATTTAATAAGTTTTAATTATCCTGTAAATCTGGGGTGTTACAGGAGGGCAGGCATTTCTTGGCATTGGTGGAAAGAGAAACAATGTTTTGCGGAGTGCTATAGGAGAATGCAATGTTGTATTGTTGGGAAAATTCCCTTTTGGACTTTTATCTTAAGGTTTTCGACAAATTAGTTACTGGGCTGTGCACAAGTTCTTGTCTTTGAAGTAATATACCTTTCTACGGTTGCGGCCAAAATGAAAAAATATGTGCGCCGTGTATTCTTGGAACTCCTACTCAGAATACACCTTCACAACCGCCACCGTCTCCCGGCCAGTGGAAAACGTAGTCATTGGGATGCACAGTTTCTTTGATAGTTGTATTAGACCTTATATGTTACCTATTTCCTAGGTACTGCACCATTACAGGAGGCTTAAGAATCCATTTTCCCTGCTGGTTAGACGAGGAAGAAGCAGAGGCGGTCTTGGAAGAAAGGCCCAGCCAATTGATAAGTATGGTAAATGCTGGGATTTTAGAAGAGTTTCATTACAAGTGTTGCAACAAGTAACAAATAATTTTTCTGAGGAGCATAGAATTAGTGAAGGTAGTTTTAGGTCAGTGTACCATGCGACATTGGAAGATGGGCGGAGAGTGGCCATCAAGAGGGCTGAGTTTGGCAGCGGCATAAGATACCGGCAGGAGGACAACGACAATGCCTTCCTCAATGAGCTTGAGTTTTTGTCAAGGCTCCATCACAAAAACCTAGTGAACCTATTGGGCTATTGTGAGGATAACAATGAGAGGTTGCTTGTTTTTTAGTATATGAAAAATGGCACACTTCATGATCAATTCCATAGGCTTGAAAGCTCACAGCTCATGTCGTGGACCGCACGGATTCGCGTCGCCATAGATTCAGCCGGAGGGATTGAGTACCTCCACGAGCATGCTGTGCCACAAGTCATCTACCGTGACATCAAGTCATCCAACATATTGCTGGACAACAGTTGGACTGCAAAGGTGTCCGACTTTGGGTTGTCCTTAATGGGACCTCAAGATGATAAGTCTCACCTTTCATTACAAGCAGCGGGTACGATGGGGTACTTGGATACAGAGTATTATATGATGAAAGTATTAACTACCAAGAGCGATGTGTACAGTTTTGGAGTAGTACTCCTCGAGCTGTTATTGGGAAAGAAAGCCATTCATAACAGTGACGACGGGGAGGCAAGGAATGTGGTCAGTTATGCTGTTCCGAACATACAGCAAGATAATATTGCTTGGATTTTAGACCGTCGAGTTCCTCCTTCGACACCATTCAAGATTGATGCAATCACCTACATAGGTTACATAGCAGTAGATTATGTGAAGCAACATTGCAGAGATAGGCCGACAATGACTGAAATCTTAAATAAGTTGGAAAGAGCCTTAACAGTTGATGAGCTTGCAACTCAGGTATTATTTTTTCTCCCATTGATTTAACAAGTTTTCAATAATAACAAGTTGAAGATAGTGTTGATAGGTTGAAAGAGATTAGCAGTGGTTAGTTGTTATGTGAGGAAACTCCATTCTATCTTGTTGAAGGATATTGAAAGGGAGGAGCCCGATGATGAAGTTGCAGAGATTAAGGAATCAATGATGTATGGTCGTCGTTGGAGTGTGAGTGATGCTAGTATAAGCAAATACCAAGCCTTTGCTCAAACACTGCAACAATAATCTAAATTCCGCTTTGCTGAGGAAGGAACTAACGGTACCTCCTCTGGATCCGACCTATTTCTAACCTCTACTGCAACAGCTAATGAAGACACCTTTGCTCAAATACTGCAATGTGAGTGGAAATGGTTTCCTCTGTGCTCATACCTTTTCATTTTCTTCACCCTTTTCCGTTATGGAATGTTGGAGATTTTAAGTAAACGGGACTGAGATGGCGTTCAAGAGAATCTATAACGGCACGAAATTGGCTGATCTTGGTTCCAGGAATTCCCACATTTGTGGAATTGTGGAGAATTCCGGGGGCCTTCAGTGCTTGCAATGGCCAGAGTTTCGCCAGTCCAACCAGATTTCCATCACCACGAATCTCGCATTGGGTCAAGATTTTATTTGCGGGTCTCGCGTAAGGGTAAACTTGTCCTTGCACATATGATTGGTGTTTAAGCTTGCCCTAGCAAGACACACATTTCATTCATCATCTTCTAGCCAATCTCCTAAACACTCCACCTTCTCTCTAAGAAATCTTAGCTTTCTCTCCAAGCTAAAAGAAGATGTTCCTTGTCTTGCAAAAATTCAATCCAAGATCCCACCTTTATACCTCCCAAGCATAGGAAAGGGTAAAATCTAAAGTTATTTAGTGTTTTTGGTTAGCTTTAAGGTGTCTTTATCTAAGTTTGGTGTTTTCTTGTGGTTTGGCTTGTGTGAGAAGGTTGTGAGGAAGAAGAACTTCCAAGTAGGGCTTAGGAGGGTTGGAAGGAAGAAGGTTTTGGTCTTCAAAGGTAACCCATGCTATACAAAACCTATTTTCCACTTGCTATTGATGATTCTTAACTTCTATTGATGATTCGTGATGTTGTGAGTGAATCTATGTATGATCTTGTGATAATGCATGTTTAGAGCTTGTATTTAGGGTTCTTGAATGCCTTTCTTTGAGCTATTCTTGAGTTCAAGTCATATCTTGGTGGTGTGTGAGGTTTTGGCTGTTTTGGACTTAAAATTGACCTTGGAGATGAATTTCCCCGAAGAAAAAATGGTAGTACAGAGATGTACCCCGCGGACAGAACGGCGGGCAGTGGCCTACCCACCGCGTCACCCGCGGGGAACGCAGACTCGTGGGATGGTACCCCGCGGGCAGGACCACGGGTGGTGGCCTACCCGTGGCCCCACCCGCGGGGAACATGTATGGTGTTGCGGGGAGTTGTTTTCCCTGTGGTTCTTTCCTTTGGTGATTGATGTTTTGACCTCCCGTTGTTGGATTATCGAGCTTTTGTGAGTCTTCTTGTTGTTTCGTATGTCTAGAACGATGTTTCAGGAATCCATGTTTGGATTTGGTGCCTTGAATCGTGCTAAGGGTCCAACTTGTGATTCGTTGGACTAATATGAGTCTTGAAGGTTCGTTGGAGCCATTTTGGTTTACCAGTTTGATGAGCATGCTTGTTTGATGTTGTTATGCTAGTATGTATGGTTTGTCCATTCCTTTTGATGATTGTCAACTTGGGTTGCCAATCATGTTGGTATTGGATTGAAGTCCATTGTTGTTGTTGAGTATTCATTTCGTGTCTTTCATTGAAACCTCTTGATTGAATCCCTTGATGTGATCTTGTATAAATGTGGCACTTTATTGATCATTCCGTGATTAAGCTATGATTCGGTCCACTATGATTCGGGTCATTGAGATGACTCTTTGATGTATGCTTCGGTTTGGCTATGTCCCATGTGGACTCGGAACTTGGAACTTGAATGTGAACTTATCATTATATGATTGTTGTATTTCCTGCTTATGAGCATGTCTATGATGAACTCTACCTTGTGAACGGTAGGTTGCATATAGAGTTGTGGTTGTCACTTGTTGATTGTGGTCTCTATTGCTTTGTTGAGGTTGTTGGTCTTGATCTTTACTGAGAGCGTGATATGTTTATTGTTGTCTCATCTCTTGGTTTAAAATGCAATATACTGTACTCCTCAGTTTCAAATGGTTTTGTCTATATCTATGTATATATATTTATACTTAACGCGTATTGGTGGGTTACCAGCATTATTCACTGACCTGGTGTTATCCCTATCTATTTATAGGTGTCTGAGTAGCTTTGGAGAGTGCACTAGTGGGCCGTAGTAGCCTAGTGTAGCTCCTTATGCTTTTCTAGTTGTTTATGGCCTGTGAGCCTAGTTAGTTTAACTGTTAGCTGCTGTGGTTTGTTTAGTAGTTTGCCTGTGCACCTATGTTTGATATAGGTGTGGCATAGCACCTCCGTGTTTAGACGTTTCTTCCATTGTTTAATGATTAATGTTTGGATTTTTTATCTCTTATTTAAGCTTTTAAATGCTGGTAAAAATCGGGCGTGTTGCAGTTGGTATCAGAGCCTAGGTTTGAGCTTAGGATGTTAAGAGTTGGACTTTAAGAACCTAGATTGGAACCTATGTTAGTGCTTGTGAGTGTAAGACCTTATGAAGTTAAGCTCGGAACCTAAGTGTTTAAGTACCTAAGTCTAAGGAACCTTAGGACGCGCGGTGAGGTTGCGAGTTCTCTTATCGTTTTCTGTTGTGCTTCTTGTGCGTTGTTTTTCTTTCTACTTTGGATCTTTTAAGTTAAGGCACCGGGTAAGGGTGCGGGCTCTAAGTTTCCTCCCGTTATCGTGTTGTTTCTGTAGAAGTCAAGGATGGCACCATTGTGACGTCGTGCAAGGTCTTCAGAAGCGGCCACCAACGAACAGCTAGCTCAAAGCCTGCATCAACTGACACAAATCACCCAAACGCTGAGCTACGCCCTCCTCAACAACAACCACCCTCCTCAGAATTGGAATCGGGACGTAATACGCCAAGTCTCAAGTCTCTGTCCCCCGATCTTCGCCGGTGAAGAAGATCCCGCGGTGCTGGAAGAGTAGATCCGAATGTTTGACAAGATCTTCGAAGCAGTGGTTTGCCCGGAGGATCACCAAGTAGATTTGGCTACATTCTATCTTAGGCAAGAAGCGGACTTGTGGTGGATGCTTGAAAGGCCAGCTTGTAGACAAGATTCGGAGTTCAGTTGAGAAAACTTGAAGGATAAGCTACGTGAGCGGTTCTATCCCGCTCATGTCAAGGCGACAAAGTACGCGGAATTTCTCCACCTGAAGCAAGTACCCTTTTCGGTAATGGAGTACCACAAGAAGTTTTTGGAGTTAGCCCGTTTCGTCTCAGTTTTGGTACCTATCAAGGAGAGTAAAGTTGAGAAGTTTGTGGCCGGACTCAGCTTCGAGGCTAGGAACTCCTTGACTGTGTCGAAGCCCAAGACTCTCAACGAGGCCTACCTTTGTGCAGCCGATCTCTACCGGGTGCAGCAAGTTCAGAAAGAGATCTGGGAGAACCGTAAGAGGGGTTATGAAACAAGTGTTGCACCTGTGGTTATGAGTTTGTCAGTTACCGGTGCTGAATCAACAAGAAGTCTACAAAGAGACGGCTCTAGGAGGGGTAAGACTCCCCAGCCAATCCAGAACAACAAGCTAGGCTAAGGGAAGGCGCTCCGTTTGCAAGAAGTGTGGAAGTGGCCACCCCGGCGTGGACTGTCTTGGAAAGCCGGTGGAGTGCTTTGCTTGTGGAAAGAAAGGTCATCGGTCCTTTGAGTGCAGGCCTAAGAGGAAGACTTCAGCAAGCCCGAAACCAGTTGGTAGTGTGAGACCCCAGTCGGGAAGTAAGCTTCGAAGCGGAATCAACGGTGGACAAAGTGGAAGAAGCAGTCAGGACCCTGTGCGAAGTCGAGACCTTGGCGAGGCAAGATCCATAGTCGTGAGTCAGACGCAAGTTGAACCCGATGAAGTAAATGCTTGTACCTCTTTGTTGCGCCCTTTTTGCCTTTGTGCTCTTCCTTGCGTGCTAGCTTCGGTGTTAAGTGTTAAGACCTTAGCTTCGGGTTTAGCTAGTTTAAGGGTCAGCTCTGACCTTGGTTTTTGTTGGAAGGGTTCGGTAGTGCTTCGTCATGAGAGTGTCCCTCGAAAGTTGTAAAGTTGGTTGTTCTATCAGCACATGAAGGAAGTCCGATAAAGATCTTCGTTTGAAGTCGTGCCAGAATTGAAGAAGAGATCTGTCAGTTGGTCAAAAAGGTTGTAACTAGTTCGTCTAGTAGAAGGGATCGCCTGAAGTCGGGAACCTTTAACCCTCTTTAATCCATTTTTCCCTCTTTTTTAGTCGAACCAACCATCCTTCTTGCCGAGAAACCCTCGTTGTTCTTCCCAAACCTTGTTCGTGCCTTCTTCTTTAGCTGTTTCCGTGCAAGGTGTCAACCTTGACTTCCTAAGTTGTAGCCTTGTTTACATTTCTTCTCTTCTTAACCAATGTGATCTTCGAGTTTTCAAACCTTAAACCCTTCACTCTAATCTTTTCCGTTGAACTGAATCTCTTCTTTTGAGCCTTCTTTCCCCTGAGTTACCTTCCTCCTTTGTTACCGTTCCTGTTTTGGACCTTTCATCCTGACCGAAAGATTTGAAGTTTTCAAGCGTTGCTTTGTAGAGAGTTGTGGGTTGTGTGTTAATGCAAGTGTTAAGTTGGCAGCCTACATCAAGTTAGCCCAAGAGCTATGGAGAAGGACATCCTGCTCGTGTTTTGGAGCTAGGAGTAGTAGCCTTTGTCTGGAAGTGATGGATCAAGTTCAAGCGGATGCCGAGATCAAGTTGTGCAGTGTGTGTACCTTGCTTCCTTTGGTTGAAGAAGTTAGTGGTGATCAGTTGAAGGCGCTATCCTTGTTCTTCAATCTCGGGTAATCTAGCTTTAGAGTCCTCTTGGTGTCAGTTTTAGTTGTAGGTTGTGCCTTAGCTAAGATGTCTAGATCTGGGTAGATCGGTGGTTAGTAATAAGCAAGTAGTTAAGTTTAAGGTAGAATTAGTTTTTCCTTCCGGTAAATCTTTTACCTATCACCTTATCTTTCTTTCTTGACTTACCTTTGTCAACCCTCAACCTATTTCTAAGCTTATCAATCTTATCACCTTAAATTGAAACCTCGATTTCCCTAGATTTGGTTAGTTGGTGGACAACTT